TTAATTTTTTTATATTAGTCTAATTTAACATATTTAAATTATATATAAATAGTTGTATTAAGTAACTCAATTTTTTGTTTATCAATAAAAGATTTTTTGAAGTTAAAAATATCTCAAAATCCTTTCGCCTCTAAATTCTTGAGACCATTATCTTCTCCTTCTTCCAATGCTAAACTTGTACAATTGTCGCCTTCTCCCATTTTGCACTCAGAGGCCTTAAAGGCTTAAACCCTCATCTTCTGCAATTTTGAGTACACCTACTAGTGGTATCATCCATGAACTACAACATAAAAATGGTGAAGAATTGGGAGCTCATCAGGGAAGAAGAGTTGGTAGGAGCCTTAGAATTATAAAGTTTACTTGCTCAAAATATTGCTTAATATTAATTTAAGGTAAATTTGGGGGGTGCTTGAAATAGACACGACACAAAAAAATCCTTATTGATCGGGTGCAAATCTTGATGCATATATGAATTGAAAACTTCAAAAATTAAATTTTGGATCATCTAAGCTCTGATTCCAACAAAATTATAGTAAATTTGAACGTCTCAATGAGGCGAACCTAGTGAAATCAAAATCGGTTCATTCCGAACACAAATGAGCCAAAATCAAATGACCGAAGCATATTTGGATTAATATTCAAACATTAATTGGATGACCTAATAATATCCAAATATGTCATGCTTATATTCCAATTGAGCGGCTTGACGAGATGAATCCAATAAGCCCAAGATCGTTTAATTTTGACATCTTTAAGACACTCAAATGCTAAACAATTGCTCATATGATTGAATGAAGCAATATTGGTCGTTCGATGGAGCACTCTAAAATTGCTATGAATCTCATTTTACAGAGCATGTCTTTCTCAAAATTTATAAATTAACCTTCACTCTCTACACGCCACAAAAAATTCTTATTGATCGGGTGCAAATCTTGATGCATATATGAATTGAAAACTTCAAAAATTAAATTTTGGATCATCTAAGCTCTGATTCCAACAAAATTATAGTAAATTTGAACTTCTCAATGAGGCGAACCTAGTGAAATCAAAATCGGTTCATTCCGAACACAAATGAGCCAAAATCAAATGACTGAAACATATTTGGATTAATATTCAAACATTAATTGGATGACCTAATAATATCCAA